GGGGAATATAAACCAATTAAAAATATATTGACATTTGAATATCATAATGGAGTACGTGGGTGGATGCTGCCTCGACTCCCGCCCACAAAAAAGGGGCTTTTTTGCTTTTCTATATCCACCCACGCTCATTACAGGCAACTTTAGAAAGATGAGATAGGATACCTGTGCCCGGCGAATAAAGCGCCCGACACACGTCTCGTTAAAGAGGCTTCGGCAACCACAGATGTTAATTTGATGCTGTTCTAGTTAACAAATAAAAAGTTACGGGTTTTAATTCCTCCGCTCTCCCCCCCTCCCGCTGCATCCTCACGCGGTTCCACCGCTTTCCCCTTTGCCCCTCTCCTCCAGCCCCGGGGATGCCGGCACGGACCGATATGGATTTGTCTCCTGGGAGATAACAGGTTTTGCCCTTTTTGGATGGAAATAATCAGCCTGTGCCTCATTACAGGGGCTGAGGAGCAGCACACTGAGGCACCGTGGGTTTCCCTGGGTCCCACAGGGCTTGGATGGGGAGAGGGGATGGTTCGGATGGATGAGAGGGAAGAGAATGTCATGGTTTCAGCTGGGGTGGAGCTGACTTTCTTACTAGCAGCTGGTATAGTGCCTCAATCCACGGGTTTTTCCTCACTTTCACTCTTCCCATTCTCTCCCCCAGGCCAACGGGGGGGAGCGAGCGAGCGGCTGCGTCGTCCTGGTTGCTGGCTGGGGGGACGGGTTTTTCCTCACTTTCACTCTTCCCATTCTCTCCCCCAGGCCAACGGGGGGGAGCGAGCGAGCGGCTGCGTGGTCCTGGTTGCTGGCTGGGGTCGAACCACGACAGAGGCACACCGAGGGCAGCGATGCTCGGCACAGCCCTGTGGAGGGGCGAGCGCCTTCCCTCGCTTTGTAAATCCAGAGAAATTGGGAATGCAGCATCAAAGTAAAGACACACTTTTATTTTTTTTTTTACCCTGAGACTGCTCGGAGCAGCACCGTGAGGCAAAACCCCCAGGAAGCCGTGCCATGTTTTCCTTGGGGACATCAAAAACAGCAGCAGTCCCCCCCAAACTGCAGGGCGGTCATCATTCCCCCATCGCTACTGCGCGTCCCCTGGCCAAGGCCACCACCTGGGTGCAAATAAGGTCTCCAAAAGCTATTAAAATGTGAATGAACCAGATAGCTGGGGAAGCTGAGCTCTCAACAGCTCTTTGCAGGATTAAACTGATTGGGATTGGGATAGCGCTTGTTGGGAATAAACCTTGCTTGCTTCTTCAGAAGCTCATGGATACAAAGCACCCTCCTGCTCCTAAGCCAAAAGCTCCACGTCCTTCCAAGGGCAGAGAGCACAGTTTTCAGGTCAAGCAGGAAAGGGTCTGATCCCATACCTCACAGGTTTTGGAAAGACAACAGCATCTTTCAGAGGGCTTTGTTGCAGGTTGTGTTGGAAAAAACCTTGCAGGGTGCAAGCAAGCCACGGCGGGGAGTTTAGGGCATCTCCATACCCACGCAACTGCCTCCTCGGTAATGCTTTTCCTTGCTCGGGTGTCTCAGCGCGTCCCTGGGCACACCAGCCGGACCGCAAACCCAAGGCACCAACAAGTCCGAACATCATCTTCCTCTAACTAAACCAGCCGCTTCCTATCTTCGGCAATAGTTTGGCTGCAGTCATGGAGAAATATGAATTTGTCTGAAGATTAGGATCCGGGCGCTCAAACTGCGACTTAGAAATAAGTGATAAAGGCAACGCTTGGCTTTCTGCAACTGGAATTAAAGGGTGCAAAATAATGACAGACCACCTTTCCGGTATGAAGGGGTTTTTGGTTTTTTTTTTCCACTAATTTGCTAAATAACCCCGTAAAACTTTAAGCTCCACGATGCGACAGGCTTTCTGCCACCACCCATGACCTGCCTGTGCAGGAAAGGGTTCCCACAGCCCTCCCCGCTCCCCAGCAAATGCTTTTTTTTTCCGTAGCAAAAACCATTCCAGAAAGTTGCTCGTGGTCTGCATTACTAGTCATGAATTGACATTGCAAATGCAATGTGTGGATTAGTGCTGGAAGGAGGGGGTTGATTTCAGCCCTAAAGTGAGTTAAGATCAGCTGTTTTCCTGGAAAAGGGTTGTTTAGAGAAAAACCCTTAAATTTCTGCCTATCTGAACTGGAGAGATAACCCCGGGAGTGGAGCCTGCAGCTCTTTGCTGGTGAGATTCCCATCTCTCCACTTCATTTACAGAAGGACCTCATTAAAGGAGGCGGCGGATGCACCCGACGCAAGCCCCGGCACAAGGAGATCAGCCACCGCTCCGACCCGGGGTGGTGGTACCAGCCCATGGTGAAGCACCGCAGGTATGGGACATGCCACCAGCGCTCCTCAGACCTCAGCAGAGCCATAGAGGCAGCCCAGGTGCCTCTCTCCTCCCCTTGATGAATAACTCCTCCGCATGAATTCAACTAGCAACCACCACACCGGTATTTGTTAGAGTTTTCTTGCTGGATAAGGAGCTGCCAATGCAGAGATAAAGCCCGGTTGATATCTATTATGCAGCACCTGAGCCCATTCAGCCACCACCTGCACAACCTTTTCATGGCAGAGCTCAACAATTCCGCTTCTTCTCGTTCCTCGCCTCCCGTCAATCGTTCCCCATTCGGGCAGGAGCGGCAGGCACAAAGCGCGGCTCCCAGGGCACGCACATCATCTTCTGCCTTTCCACTTCAAGAGGTCTACGCCGAACCGCGGCATTGAGGTACCCAGCCGGCTGCGAGCGAGCGATGCTGCGGATCACAAGGCCAGAGACCGCCTACGCTTGACACCAGGAACAAAGGCAGATGATTTGCGTCTTCAGACAGATCCTGGCTTATTCACCACTGAAGTACGTATTCGTAAACAAATACTTCTCTTCTCCTCCTAAACCTCTCCATCCCACCCGTCGGCAGAGCGGGAAGGTTGGCGACGTGTGCCCTGGCATCCCACCAAACTCCAGCCAGAGTTGAGAGGCAGCAGGGACAGCCCAGCCGGGCGGCTCGGGGACATGCAAAAGTCCTTCCAGGTGTCCCCAGCACCCAGGAGTGCAACCTCAACCCACGGCGCAACCTCAACTCACAGCCTTCCCCAGCACTAGGACAGTCCCAGCCCCTTCCCACTGCAGATGCAACTCTCTATTCAAAACGAGTTTTTGAAGTGTTCAGCCAAGCAAGCCAAATCCCAAATTGCTTTATAAACACTCTGCATTTCACCAGCGTGGGCTGAAGACATCAGCAATGGGAGCAAAGCCAAAGCGACTTGCAGAGGAACAATTTGGGAGGGATGAGTGAAGAAGAGCTGGAGCACTGCCTCTTGATATCTTTGCCGTTCGATGTGAAAACAGCCTCCTCCATCCCCCACCCGGTGGGATTTTTCCCCCCCAACACACACAATATTGTTGGCCATCACCTCTGCATTGATGGCCATCACCTCTACGTTGATGGCCATCGCCTCTATAGGGTTGAAGACCTGAGCTTGGCTCCCGCTCAGGAGCAGGAATAAATTCAGAGCTGACGGTACGGCGGTTGAGCGCAGGTCGCCACGCTGTTACTTACCAGTGTTTTGTGCTTTTCTTTCCTCTGCCCAACCATCCACATAAATGCCCATTAAATTAAATAGGATCATTTGAACACCCCAAAGTGATAAATACCAGACCCCAGGAAGCTCATTACTTGCTAGTATATTGATTTATGGGGAACCAGCTCAGATACCATGGCGATAGCCGGCACTATACACCCAGGGGAGACACAGAAGGAGAGAGAGCGGGAATTAATAAGAAGTACTTTAATATAAAAAAATACCTCTGCTAGCAGGTTACATCGGCGCTTGAGGAAAGACAGAGCAAAGGAGGGGCTGCTCAGATGCTGCCGCGCTCCCCATCAGTCTACTGATTTTTGGTATTGCGCGGAGAAGGAGAAATCTTTGGGGAATATTAAGAAAGATACGGCTACAGCAAAAGCAGAGCTGCTGAGCTGGGACTGACTTGATTTCATTTGAGCAGGACTAGCCGCGGCAGGGAGGGGGGGAATGAGTACCAAACACTCCTGCCCGCACCTGAGTTATTCGGGAAGTTTTCAACCTGTTTCCATTTATTGGCTTGTTTTCCCTCTTTTACCGACGTCTGGCAATTGTGCTTTTGAAACTAGACAGCCACAAAGGCGTTTCACGGAACGGAAAATTAAACAAGGCTGAGAAGAGCAGCAAAGGGAAAAGTTTGGGTTAATTTTTATCCGTAGGCTTTGTTTTCCGCAAAAAAAAAAAGAAAAAAAAAGAAAAAATCAATGCGAAATATCGCACCCTTGATGCACGCCCTCCCCGCTACACCGGAGTGAGCGAAGCAGAGCAGTGGCATCATCCAGCTCGAGCTCCTCAAGCCCTCTGCATCTAAACACCACCCCTTGGATGGTGGGGACAGCCAGCCGGGACAACCGGGGTCACGCTGACATGAGCTGCAATGAGTTTGTTAGGTCTCAGTCTAAGGAGATGGCTGGCATGTGTCGGACCCCCCCATATATATATATATATATATATATACACACATACCCCCACACTTCTTTTCTCCTAATGAAAAGCTTGGGGAGGAATAAAAAATCTTGGCTGGTTCCCGGTCCAGCTGTCCTTTCTGGGACACCAGTGACACCCAGTCCTATT